TGCACACACATGCCCATGCTTGCTCACACAACACAAGCACATGTGGTGCACAACTTGCATGCACATGTAAGCATATGCACTCATGCACATGTTTGTGCACACGCATCAGCATTGCACACTCACGCAGACGCACACACACACACGCACGCATACAAAATGGTATGGCATTTGATAAACACGGGTCTTCCTCTCCCCCAAGCACTGGTGTGGGCCAGCGCTCTCTGGCCTCGGCTAAAGTAAACACATCGGGGCAGGGGCCCAGGCGCAGCCCCTGGAGCACAGCCACTGGGTAATTAGACAGCAGCCCTGCGTCGCATTTGCTTGGTGAACTTCTGGTTCTGGGTAGAGACTTAAAGGAGACGGTTTTAGAATCTGCACTCAGGACAGATCAAAATAGCATCCCCTCAGCCAGCCCCTTTCTCTTCCAGCTCGACCAGCCTGAGGGCGCCATCACTGGGGAGTAACTTTTGGGGTTAGAAGCCCTCAGCGCTGGGGCTCCTTGGCTGGAAATACAGGCCATATAACTGGCATACAGACGGAAGTAGCCCTGCCTGGTGCAGGTGGGAATAGGGTCAAAACATGTGCAAAGCTGCCACAGGGCAGCTCCTGGGGTCTACAGCTGGGTGTGGTGTTTCTGAGTGCCAGCTCCCCGCCCCAGATGGCTGATGGGGCTCACTGCACTCCTGGCCACCTTCACTGCTGCATGGCTGATTGGGGGCTCGGGCCCTGCTCTCTGAGAGGCCCCACCTGCCTGGCTGGCTGTTCAGAGCTGGGGTGTCCTCCTCTACCGCACCCCCATGTTTCTGCATTTGGGCCTTTGCTTCTGCTCGTCATCTGCTCAGACTTGTCCATGGCGTGGGGTAACCCACATGCCCCTACAAGGATGAAGGGCCCTGTCTTTTTTAAAAAAATACATTTTATTGCAATATAATGTATGTACAGTGAAGTACACCAAACTAAAGTGACATGGGTCAATGCATTTTTTTTTGCAATGTTCCTTCCCCTCCCCCCTACCCCAGGTAACAGAGTTTCCTTCCTTATATAAACCTTTCCTTAACTTTTACAATAATGGACTAATATAGTATTTGTCCTTCTGTGATTGACTTATTCCACTCAGTGTAATGTGCACCATGTTCATCCACATTATGCGGTGTTTTGCAGATTCTCCGTTATTCTTTAGGGTTGTGTAGTATTCCATTGTGTGTATGTACCATAGTTTGGTTATCCATTCTTCTGTTGATGGGCACCTAGGTTGTTTCCATCTCTTTGTTACTGTATATAGTACTGTTATGAACATGGGTGTATGTCTGTTTTTGTCATGGCTCTCACTTCTTTAGGATATGCACCTAGTAATGGGGTGGCTGGGTCAAATGGTATTTCTAATTTCAACTTTTTAAGGAATTGCCAAAATGATTTCCACAGTGGTTGTATCATTTGACAGTCCTCCCAGCTGTGTATGAGAGTCCCAATCTCTCCACACCCTTGCCAGCATATGTTATTTTCTGTCTTGTTGAACTTTGCTACTAGTGCTGGAGCAAGGTGGTATCTCGTTGTTGTCTTGACATGCATCTCTCTGATGGCTGATGATGGTGAACATTCCCTCATGTGTTTGTTGGCCGCCTGAATATGAATGGCCCTATCTTGCTAAGGACCCCCAGGGACCCTTTCTGAGGAAGGAGGGCCATCATGTTTGGTCAGGTGGAGGGTCAGTGGAGACGAGGGGGACTGTCCGCAAGATGGATTGACACAGTAGCTCCAGCAAGGTGACCGCCAGACTGGGTGACAGTCCTATTGTACAAAAAGTCACCGTGTATTGGTGCCAACTAGGCCATAGCCACCACCACTAGTGAATCCAAACTCACCTGGAACGCACCATGTCCTAAACAAAGTTAGAAATGACTGGTCCAAAGATGACCAAACACAACCCTGAAAACATGTGGGCTGTGGACTCACGCCCGCGAGGCTGGGCAGGACCTGCTGTCAGGCAGGAATGTTCCAGAGGCCCCTCCCCCTCCAGGAGGCTTCAGCCGCCGAGCCCCTCCCCCACTGCCCGTGGCCACCTCTGCAGCTGTCCTACCACCTCCTCTGTTGGTGCTGCCATCATGTTTGCTGGTGCTGTCTCCCCACATGCGGGGAGATTTATTCCTTTTAAAAAATCAAAAATGATTATATCTGAATGTATGCAAAATGTACGTTTAGTAGATACGTATTTTAAAAATAAAAAACCACACCCACTGCCATTGAGTCGGATCCGACTCATAGCAACCCCTCCTTGGGTTTCCAAGGCAGTATCTCTGTGGAAGTAGATTGCCCAACCTTCCTTCTGAGGGGTGGCTGGTGGGTTTGAACCACCAGCCTTCTGGTTAGCAGTCAAGTGCCTTAGGCACTATACCACCAGAGCTCCTCTTGTTGTTGTTTTGTTGTTATGTGCTGTCGAGTCAAACCTGATTCATAACGACCCCTCCTTGGGTTTCCGAGGCAGTATCACTATGGAAGTAGGATTGCCCAACCTTCCTTCAGAGGAGTGGCTGGTGGGTTTGAACCGCCAGCTGTCTGGTTAGCAGGCAAGTGTCTTAACCACTATGCTACCAGAGCTCCCAGAGTTCCTCTAGATATGTATATTTATAACCAAAACCCACACCCACTGCCGTGGAGTCGATTCTGACCCACAGCGCCCCTAGAGGACAGAGTGGAACTGCCCCCCAGGGCTTCCAGCTCTGTTTTCTGTAGATGTGCCTCTGGGTGGAGGGGCCGTGTGGCTCCCCGTTCCTGTCCCAGGACTGGAGGCCCCTCAGTCAACTGCCGAGCACGCATGACTAGTTGTCAACACACAAGAGTGGCAGCCCCTGCGTGTGGAATAAAGTGACTGAGGGCCATGGTCCTCCCCAACGGGCCACAGGCAGCTGCTTTTATTCAGAGGCCAGAAGCAGACAACTACGAAAGGGCTTGGCCCCAGAAATGGGCCTGAGCATGTTTGGGGCTGCAGGGGTGGTCAGCGCCCCCGTCCCCCGTCCGTGGCTTCCCTCAGGCCGGCTGCCTGGCCGCCTCCTGCTGTCTGCTGCGTAGGGCCTGGGCAGTGGTGGCAGGTATCAGCGCTCTTCAGAGACCTCACACCCCAGCTGGGCAGGGTTGCTCGGGGGCATGGAGACCCCTACATTGCTTCCCAGCTGGGGGCCGTCCCTGGCCCCTGACAGCTTTGGGAACACCAAGCAGGATGCCCTCCTAGCCTGCACGCTGGGCCATCCCAGCCCCCACTGACAGACCTTCCAGCTTCCAGGGTGCTAGTGAATACTGGAGCTCGGCCTGCTAGCTGGGGCGCCCAGGGCCTGCTCCAGCCAAGGACGCTGGGGACTCTGGCCTCAGGGCAGGTGGGGGAGACTCTGCGGCCTTGGGGTGGACCAGGGACTCTCCGGGGCCTTAGGGGCCTCTCTGCGGCCTTGGGGTGGGCATGGGGTAAATGTGGGCCCAGGAGGAGCAGGGAGCCCAAGCGCGTGTAGCCCTCTGCGGCTGCCTGGGGGTGAAGCCGTGGCATCTGAGCATCTTCACCCTGCTGTGACAGACACCACAGTGGACGTCTACTGGCCCCGGTCGGGAGGCCACAAGTCCGAGTTAGGCGCCACTCTAAGGGAGGCTCGCCCGCTCGGTGGGCTCTGGGGACGGTCCTGCCTCCTTTGGCTTCAGGAGCCTGTGTCCCTCGATTCCTTGGTGACACCCACTGGTGTCTGTCTCATCTGTTAGTGTGTCTCTGTCTCCACTGCTGTTTATGACTAAGCAGTGGTTGGGTTTAGGTCACACCTGCCCTGACAAGGCCACGTTCACGTGACAGAAAAAAACGTTTCTAAGCGGGACTCTATCCACAGGCCCAGGGGCCGGGGCTCCCACACGTACACAGGGGACACAGTTCTGTCTGTAACACTGGGCAGGAGCTACGGGCAGTCAGGGTGCCGCCTCTGTGTTTCAGCCAGCTGAGGGCCCTGGGTGGTCTGCAGTGGCCACTGGCCCAGTGCCACCTGTGAGGGGGTCAGGTGTTGGGGGGACAGTGCTACAGCCTCTCCCCAGGGCTCGGACGCAGATGACAGCTGCTGGGATGGGAGCGCCGTCCCCATGGCGACCGGAAGCCTCTAGACCTCTCCTGCTCCACTCGAGTCTGGACAGCTGGCCAGTGTGGCCGGTTCTCGGGGGACCCAAGATGGCCTCCCAGAGTCAGCCGAGAGGCGCAGCTGCCTTTCGGGGTGGGCGCGTGGGGCAGTTGGCTGTTCGCCTGCGGGAGGCGGCACCCCCCCTTCAGGCTGATTGGAGGGCCTGGGGTCCCGCTCCATGTGGGGGCTGCTGTGACTTGGGGTGCTCGTGGGAATTGGGGTGGCAGGGGTCATCCCTGAGTGAGGAGGATGCTTCCTGGATGTGCCTCCCAAACGCCCTCATCTTCAGTGGAAATGATTCCGGAGGATGGGCCTCCGGCCAGCAGCTCTGAACCCCACAGCTGCCTGGGTGGTGGTGGGACAGGCTGACCACGTGAGGGGGTGAGTTCAGGCCTGGAGCTGGGGGGCTTCCCGAGCCCCGGAATGTTGTACCCCCAGGCGGTGCTGGGACCTGGGGCAGCCAAGGCCGACACGCTACCCCCCGCTGCTGCCCTGGGATTGTCGGAAATGGGGTGAGCATCGTGTTTGGTCTCTGCTCAGCTTCCAGAGACTTTGGGGAGCCCAGGGTTGGGCTCTGATGGGACCAGCTGCCTGGGGCGGGGGGCGCTGAACAGAAGGGCCCATCCGCGGGCAGCAGGCCAGGGCAGCTGCAGTGCCCGCAGTGATCCCTGCGCGAAGAGCGTGGGTGGGGAGGGGCTGCTCAGGGCGGCTCCCCTGCTGCCGGGGGCAGTGGACCCCTGCGCACGCGGCTCCCTCTCATCTCCCAGCGTATCCCTGCGTCCTCACCAGGCTGTCCCAACCTCATGGATAGGGCCCAGGAGCCCCCGCGTCTCACCTGTGAGGCCCACCCATCCGCCTCACCTGTCCAGCCGCAGCACAGCCCCCAGCAGCCCGGGCCAGGCGGGGGCTGCTGCTCGCAGGAGGCAGGCGTGAACGAGGGGCTCCAGCTGTGCCCACACATGTCCCCACGGCGGGCGTAGGGGAGCAGCTGGCTGCAGGCAGGCCCGGACAAAGGGCGCTTTGACAGCCCGGGCGCCTGGATCGCGCTCGGGCAGCTGACCCGCCCAGGCGCAGTGCTCCGTGGCTTCTCGCGCCCAAGTGAGGCCGGGCGCCCACTCCCCCAGCTGGACCTCGTGCTGGGAACCGCAGCCCCTGGGGCCCGTCACCCGGCACCGCAGGACGGGAGGGGCAGGCCCACCCTGTCCCCTGAGCACCCAGGCCCCCCGTCAGTGACCTGGGCTGGCCCAGCATACCCTCCCCCTCCTTCAGGCCTCCAGGCCCCCTTCTCAGCCTGGCTAATCCCCTTGGAAGTGCCAGCATCCCTGCCCGGGGTGGGGGCCAAATGGTCCCAGGGCCCCTGGCAGAGGGTCTCTCAGGCTGGTGCCCACCGGGCCCAGAGCAGCCAGCTGTGTGGCCCCACCCCAACCCTGATTCCCACTTGAAGTGGCCCAGCCCTTTGTGCCTGCCCCCGCCCCTCACGGTCTTCCATGAAATTAACTTTTCCTCTGGAGGACAATGGGGGCCCCACGGCGGCCATGATGGTGCCGCTGATAAGGATCGGGGAGGCTTCCTTACCACAGGGCAGAGCCCTTTCATCCTTGGCTCAGCACGGGCGCCAGCCCAGCTGAGCACGATGACCCCCGGCTGCTTCTAAATCATGTGGGGCCCACGGCTTCCGGGGTTCAAAGCACATGGAGCCTTGGGAATCTTCAAAGGGCGGAGATTCACTTGTTTATGATAAAAACAAAACAAGAGATAAAGCCCATTTGACCTTCATCCTTCCCAGGCGGCAGTGGGGCCCCGCAGGGAATCAGGGGCCCACGTCCAGCCCCCCTGCCCCCCATCGGCACCTGCTCTTCACCTTTCATCTCAATGCCTCAGATTCAGGCACACCTGCCGTTACCTGAAAACACGACCACAGACGGGCCGGCTTGTCCCCAAGAGAGAGTTTGAACCACCAACCTTCTGGTTACCAGGCAAATGCCTTAGGCACCGTGCTACCAGAGCTCCTTTCCAAACTCACTGCCGTTGAGTCGGACCCAACTCACAGCAACCCCTCCTTGGGTTTCCGAAGCAGTATCACTACAGAAGTAGATTGCCCAACCTTCCTTCTGAGCAGTAGGTGGTGGGTTTGAACCACCAACCTTCTGGTTAGCAGTCAGATGCCTTAGGTACTACGCCACCAGAGCACCTTTCCAAAGTGGGTGCCAAATGCATATGAATGTGAATTCAAGTGACCCCTGCAGCTGACTAGCTCTGCGAACACATAGGAATCACACAGCATGTCTGAGCCTCTGCAAGACGGAGGTCGACGACTGCTCCTTCCTGGGAACTGTTGAGCTTGCTTTCCCTCTCTGGGCCCCCGTCTCCCTGCCTTTGGGTGTGTTGGTGTCTCACGAATGACGAGGCTTCAGCATCAGTGTCGGATGTCAGAAGAACCTTCCGGAAGGTGCAGCCCAGCTGCACCCGACACCTGTGTTGAGGCAGCAGCACAGTGAGACAGCATTCAAGGCAACTTGAAGACACCCTCGCGTCCACCACCTTCACAGAGGCACGGATAGTGCTTGAGCTCTAACTGAGGGGTTGGTGGTTCGAATGTACCCTGGAACACCTCAGGGGAAGGCCTGGCCGTCTGCTTCAGGACGTGGCAGCCGTGAAAACCCTCAGAGCAGCTGTTGTGATGCGCGGGCTCGCCGTGAGTCAGGGCCTGGACAGTGGCACCAGGTCGGCCAGTCCCGTACATTTGGGGGTAGTCCCCTCTGTCTTCCTGGTAAGAAGTTCAGGCCCACGCTGTGGGGCCTTTGCTGTTGGTCTGTCAATCATATGTGCTGTCAGTGATGCTGAACTACCCACGGGCCCTGCAGGTCAAGACCCAGGACGCGAGGGCAGCTGCAGAGCAACTTCCCGGGGCCGTGGGCTGAAGCCTTGGTTTTCTGCTCAGAGTCTAGTGCCGCCATCACAGAAATGCCACAAGTGGGGGCTTTAACAAACAGATCTGTCGTCTCAGGTTCAGGAGGCGGGGAGTCTGAATCCAGAGTGCGTCTCCAGGGAAAGGCTTTCTCCCGTCGGCTCTGGAGGAAGGCCCATGGGGCTTGGCGTCTCTCTCCCCATCTCTGCCCTGCTCGCTTGTTTAGTCTCTCTCGTATCTCAAAAGAGACTCAAGACACGCCCACCACATGCATCCCACCTCGTTAATGTAGCAGAGACAGCCCGTTCCGAAGTGGGATCGAACCACAGACAGGGAGAGGCTACAGTTTACAGACGGCTTTTGGGGGACATAAGTCAGTCCATAACAAAGCCTGTGAAGACCCGAAGACTGTAGCTACAGAGCCCAGCAAGGGCCCGCCAGGTGCCGGGGTGGTCAAACACCCCAAACAGAACCTGACCATCTGGAGCCATGGCGGGCGGGTGAGTCTCCAACGTCGTTCCTCAGATTGTCTTTAGATCTTAAACCAAAAATATCCCTGAGGTCTTTACGAAGCCAACAGTAATTTGTCTAAACTAGAACAGAGGGTCTGCCCTGAGCACTGTACGCCCTTAAGAAGCACCTACATGGGATCAAAGCCTTGGTGGCACAGTGGTTAAAGCCACCTCACAGGGGCTGCCCGATCCCTACCTCTATCCTCCGCTCCTGGAGCAAAGCTGGCCGTGTGCGTTTATAAGATTCCGGGGAGGCCCCAGTTTACCCAGAAAGATGGCTGGAGTCAGTGTGGGGCTGGAGGGTGCTAGAAGGGGGGTGGAGCCTGGCATCCTCGAGGGCCTTCCTGACAGAGGCAGGTGTGTGCTGGCCGGGAAGAAGCATGGCTCGGTGGTCAGAGGGGCCTCGAGGGGGCTTGCGCTGTCAGGCCAGAGACCACATGTGGGCCAGGGACCTTGTGCTCCCTCCACGCTGAGCCTCCCAAGTCAGGACTCCCCTGGGGGACAGGGCAGTGTGCCAGGCGCCTCCACCCCTAGACCTGGGCCCAGGCCTGCTGCGCTCAGCGTGAAGGGGTTATGGGGTCCCCCGGCCTATGCAGCTCATGGGTCCTCTGTGTGGCTCACAGCCACCCCTGCCTGAGCACCTTGCAGGTCCCGTTTGCACGGTGCCCCTCTGCTCCTGGCGGGTCCTCATCTGAGTAGTTCACGACACCCCCACCTGTATGCCCCCATCTGTGTCCCTGGTGCCTCCTCCGTCTGTGATGTGTGTGGCACATACCGCCCCCGTCTCTGCTCCTTGCGGGTCCGCGTCTGAGTGGCTCACCCAGCCCCTGTCCCTGCAGGAGATTGTCCTGGTGGTGTTCTTCGGCACGGAGTACGTGGTGCGCCTCTGGTCGGCTGGCTGCCGCAGCAAGTATGTGGGCGTCTGGGGGCGGCTACGCTTCGCCCGGAAACCCATTTCCATCATCGGTGAGTCGTGCCTCTGAGGAGCAGAGACTCTGGCCAGGTGGCCCCCACAACACTGTCCCCAGGCAGTTCCTGCTTAAGGCCCCAGGCTGCTCCCCGGGGACGGCCAGGACTGTGAGGCAAGCACCTGCACAGGTGCCACCCTGCACAGAGGTGGCCTCTGCCCGGCTCTGAACATGTCCTAGCTCTCGTGGCTCCCTCCTGAGGGGTTCCTGTGGAACTGGGACCGGCACAGCCCTGGGGGCGGGTGGCCAGTCGGCTCAGTGCTGAGAGCCTCTGGGAGCCTGTGTGCCAGGGCCCAGGGTGGGGCATGGTTTCCTCTGTGCCTCCCAGGGCTTGGTGCAGAGCCTAACTGGCTTTCTTTCCCTGCAAGGCATCTGCGGGGCCCCTGGTGCCGGGGTGGACAGGATGGGGCCGCGCGCTCCCTGCCCCCACTCAGCGGCCCTTCTGCCCCTGCAGATCTCATCGTGGTTGTGGCCTCCATGGTGGTCCTCTGTGTGGGCTCCAAGGGACAGGTGTTCGCCACCTCGGCCATCAGGTACACTGGTGCCCAGCGCTCCTTCTCCCCTCTCCTGGGCCGGGATGCTGCAGCCCTGTAGGTAGCTCCCACGGCTGGGCAGAGAGCACCCAGGCTGGGGGCGGGTGGGAGTGAGGAGGGAGCTGGTTCCCTGGGTGGCCCCTCTGCTGACCTGTCAGTGGCCAGCCCTCTGTGAGCTCCCTGGTGGTGCCATCACCCCTAGCCTGTCCCATCCTTCATCCTGGCCGTCAGTTCCCCATGCCCCTGTGTCCCCTCCATAGGGGCATCCGTCACCAAGCCCCCATGTCCCCTCTGTAGGGGCATCCGCTTCCTGCAGATCCTGAGAATGCTCCACGTGGACCGTCAGGGTGGCACCTGGAGGCTGCTGGGATCCGTGGTCTTCATCCATCGCCAGGTGAGTACATGGGGTGTGGCCGGCAGGCGCTGGGGTGCGGGCAGGACAAACCCGGGCCCAGTCCCCGGGCCCAGGGCAGGATTCACTTCCTGTACCCGGCTAAGCAGCTCAGACCCAGGTGGTGGGAGGGAGCCCAGGGCCCCTGTGTCCAGGCTGTGAGCCACCCACACGTCTTCATGCCCAAACATGAACATCGGGCAAATAGGATGAGAGAAACACCAGGCAGGGGCAGTCCCCGGGGCACAGAATTTCCAACCACGCAAGCAGAGCAGCCGGGGAGGGCAGCCTTCCCGGCGTAGCTGTGCGGGACAAGGGGCCGTCCCCCTCACTCACAGGGATCCGCGCAGGTCCCTCGTAGACCTCGTGGGGAGACAGCTGGGTGGTCAGTGGGTGCACACAATCCATCAGCACCACATGGGCAAGCCCTGGCACCCGGGTGGTGGCACGGTGGTGATGCCAGCACGCCCGGCTGCCTGCTGCCCCCTCCCAGGAGCTGATCACCACCCTGTACATCGGCTTCCTGGGCCTCATCTTCTCCTCCTACTTCGTGTACCTGGCCGAGAAGGACGCCGTGAACGAGTCGGGCCACGTGGAATTCGGCAGCTACGCGGATGCGCTGTGGTGGGGCGTGGTGAGTGGGGTCCCCGGGCAGGTGGGCCTAACCGGGCTCGGGCCCTGGGCTCACACCCCACGGGGCTCGGTGGTCCCAGACTTTCCGCCTTCACCATGCCCAGATTCACACGGGGAGCTGCAGGCAGGGCCGGCCTGGTGGACCTATGGCTGGGAAGGGCCCCGGCTGAGGGTGGGCCTGTCTTGAGGTTCTGAGAACTTTCATCTTTTCGCTTTGAAGACAGTTGTGGTGTTTGGCTCCCCTCCCCCCCGCCCCCCGTAACGCTGTCTGTACACCGTTGTTGTTCTAGGTGTTTCAGGCCAGTGACTGACCACTCTGCGTCCTGTCTGACATGTACCTCAGCGAGGCAGGCCCGTGGGGAGGGGGTGGCTGACCCTGGGGTCTCCGGCTGGTAGTACGCTGCACTATGGCTCTGCCTAAAGCCGTATTCTCTGGCAAATACCCTTGCCCTGAGACCAGCTGTCCCCATGTCCAGGCCAGCCCTGCAACCCCCTTTTCCAAAGGCTTCCCGGTTCCCAGCTCTGAACTCTGCAGAGGAAGCCATAGTTGGCACGTGAGGTGTTAACTTCTAGGAGTTGATGCCACTCAGGGAGGGGCGCCGGGGGCTATTAGGGTCCCTGGGGGGCAGTGGGCTCAGGAGGAGTCCACCTGGGTATGGTGGGGGTGGGGACTGGGGGTGTCTCAGCTCAGGCAGGTAGACCGACTGGGGGTGGGGGTGGGGGCAGACTGCTGAGCTGCCCGTGCCTTGGGTTCCACCCCTTGACCTGGGGTGACAGGAGCCCCCGCGAGGTCAACAATGCCCAGATGCTGTGTGTGTCTGGGGTGTCTGAGGGCTGGTGATTCTGGGGCCTCGCTCCTGGTCGTGGGTGCTCTCTCTTTGGACTAAGTTTTCAAGCATCGTGGGGGCCACGGGCTGCTTGCCGCACCCCTCTGCCTGTGCCCCAGAGCCTCTGCCCTGACCCCGGCCCACTCTGGGGAGTGGCTGGTCCTGCTTGTTGGTGACAGGGCACTGGACTCGCCAACTTCTGACCTTCCTCCCAGCCGAGTCTCCACGGAAGGCGGGCCTGAGCGCTTCGCCTCCCCAGGGCTCTGGGCCGGGACCCCATGGCAGTTCCCCATGGGGAGGAGTGTGCTCGGGGGTCTGGGGCGGCCTGGTGTGGACATACCAGTGTCAGAGCAGACTGGCCTTGGGGAGGCTTGTGGCCGTGTGAGCCGCTGAGGCCATGGGACGGGCGGACTGCAGCAGTGGGTCGAGGGAGGAGCCCCTCGTGGCCCAGCGGCCGGAGGCCCTCTGGCAGGGTAGGGGCTGAGAGGCAGCCACGGGGGCACCACCGTTATCCGGCCTTGACCCTTCCAAAGGCCCTGTCCTGTGCCTCCCTGGGAGCCCTTCCCGAGAGGCAGGGCCTTGTTCTCTCCTGGGTCCTCCATCCTCGAGCGGTGGGGATTGGGGCTGCCCGAGCTCACACTGCTGTTTAGTGTGTGGGGCACACGGCAGGGGGCTGTTTGGGGGGGGGGCAGCTGACTCTGGGCCCTCAGGCCGCATGGTCCCTAACAGTGGCTGGGTCAGTTTGCCTTCTGGGGTTTACCAGCGTGTCCCATGGCTCAGGGAGAGCAGGACCCCCTGACCCCACCCAGGTTGGAGCTGTTTCGGTTTCAGCCTCCCTCACCCCTCCCCATGCCAGCCTGCTCCTGGGGCCCTGGGGATGCATTCCTGGCACAGGCCTGTGCAGAACACTGACCATAGCCAGGAGAGGTCCCGGGGGCTGTGGTGAGCTTGGCAGCAAGGGGCTGGCCGCCGCCGGGGCGGCAGGACACACGTGGGCGCTGCCCCAGGCCCCACTGATAATCGGCGCCCTGCCTAGGCCCTGGCCGGCCTGCCTTCCCGCCACAGGCGACCTCGAGGAGTAGAGGCCGTCCCTGCCCCGAGGCACTGTGCCCCTGCTCCCCACACCTGTGCAAACATCTGCCGGCCGCCGGGGACATGGCCCCTTTGTTCAGCCTTGGCACGGGGGCTCCACCATCAGCTGCAGCCCACGCCTGGCCCCACGCTCCTGCCACCATTGTTCCCTCTGGGCCTGCGCCCTGGCCGCCCTGCCTGTCGCCCGGCTGGTGGCATCACTAGGGTTGGTGTCACCCCCCCATGGACCTCCTCCTGAACCGGACCAGACAGGATGTTTTGTGTAGCGATGTCCCTCCTAAGTCATGATTCCTGTACTTCACTGTGTGGAAAGACAACAGTAGCGCCATAAACAATTAGCAAATTAAAGTACACTTTTCCGAGACAGTCGCGCGTGCAAACAGAGCCGTGTGAGTGGAAGTGTGGCCATGACTGGGGAGCGCCAGTCCAGGCCGCGTGGCATGAGAAGGTTCAAACAGTGAAGTAGCGGAGACGCTGACCTTGTCGTTGTGCTGAGACACTGGGTTTACGAAAAATGTTCTTGTTGCTGTAACTGGCTGTAGGGATTTTGATCAAAAATAACACATTTCTGCTGAAACGCTGCACAGAGATTTTATAAACAGTCATTTTGGTGTCACCCCCAACACTGTCACCATGTGGCCCACATCCTGTGCCCTCCAACCCCGCCTCTGCCCCTGATGACGGGGGCCTTTGGGAACAGCACACCCACACACCCACGCACCTGCCTCAGTTTCCACAGCTGTCAAGCGTGGGTCCAAAGGCTAAGTGTCCCCTCATTGAGTCAGCAGGGTGGGAGGCCGGACTGGGGTATAAAGTCTTGCTGGTCCCTGAGCGTGGTGGCTGGAGCCTGGCTGTGGGGACGCTCAGGCTGGGGTGTAGGGGTGTTTCAACTCTCTCCTCACCTTGGATCAGAAGTGTTTGTCTGCGGGAAGGTGTGGGCAGGAAATGCCGTCTGTGTGTGGGCCTGGGAGTCTCAGAGACGAGGCTGCAGTCTCTGCCCTCACCTCCCACCCGAGTGTAGTGTTTGGAGCAAAAGGGCTGGGAGCCTGTCCCTCTAATCAAACCGCCATGTGAGACAGAGCCAGCGCTAGTCCGATCCGACCCAAAGGAAGCTCCGGAAGGTTCCGGCCTCCCAGGCCGCACCACATCCTGACAGGCTGAGCACCGGGGCTTCTCCGACATTCACACTCGGTCCCCGTCAGTCTTGTCCAGTGGGTGGGGCCAATGTCAGGACCTCACAGGAAGCTAGGGAAATTGAGACCCGTGGGCCCCCTCCCCTAGTCTAGGCCGTTCCTCTGACCAAGCCCCCTGCGAAGGTGGGGAGTGTATACCGGTGAGAACCAAGGATCCGCATCCCTAGACAGCATGGGTCTTCCTCACCCATGGGCCACTGGGTATGGGATAAGAAGAACCTTGGGCTTGGGGGCCTGGCCAGAGCCCTATGGGGAGGGCATTTAAAGCTGGGTTTTGTAGGATGAGTAAGAGCCCATGAGGCAGGTTTACACCCCTGTATGTGGTCCCTGTGGCCAGGCCTGGACCCTGAGGGCTGCAGTTGCCTCGTAGCTGGATCTGGCCGGGCCCCCCTTTCACCTGACTCCCTTCTGGGGTGCTGCCTCCATACCTCAGCCCACTCCCCTTCCCACTGGCAGCAGAGCCTCTCCCCCCTCGTGAAGGTGCAAGAGGGGGAGGCCAGCTCTTAACGTGAGAGGTGAGGGGAGAACAGGGCTTTACACCCTCGGGACTTGGCACAGGGTTTGGAAGGATGAAGAGAAGGTTGCGGGGGCACGTTGCGGGTACAGAAGTAGCTTGTTCACACTTGGCCAGGGACTGTGCCCCCGAGGTCACAGCCCCTGGGCATTCAGCTCCCAGTCCTGTGTCCAGGCTGTAGGGCTTGTTGGGAATGGTCCCTGCCTGGCTGGTTCCTGCAGAATGGACGGAGTGGTGAGTGGGCCGCCTGCCCGCCAAGCCCGTCTGCACTCTGGGCCTCTCGGGGCTGTGAGGTCACTGCCTGGGATGTGCTCCCCCTTTGAAGTGGCACCGCCTCCCATCACACCCCCCACCCAGGCAGGCAGCTGTGGCCCAGGCCTCACACATGGGGCACAAGCCCGCCGGGGAGGACGGCCCACAGATAAGGGGTGCACGTGTCCCAGAGCCCCTTCATCTCTGGCCGGCTGTGCGGTCCCAGCGTTGACTCCCTGTGTGCGGGGCCTGCGTTCTGTGTGCTGTGAGGACGAGTGTGCTGAGAGCACGAGACTGGGACGTGGTGACCGTGTTGTGCCGTGTGTGCAATGTGTACACACGCATGGGCCGCCCTGGAGCCTTGTGTGTTTGGGTATGCATGCGTTTGCTGGTCTCCATTCAACACATCCGTGAGTGTGCACCCACTCACACGGGGCCCGGTAGTCACTGGCTCAGAGTGTGGCTGGGTGGGCACGGGGGACGCGGGGGGTTTCCAGGGCAGTGGCGAGGCCCTGCTCCGTGTGGTGCACGGAGGGCGTGAGGGGCTGTTGTGGACGGCATGGAGGCTGGGGCCCAGCAGCGGCCCCTCCTGCAGTGTTTCCCAGACACATGAGCCAAGAGCCGCACCCACACACGGCACCCGTGAACATGCTCTTCAGCCTCATCCACTGTCCTGAGACGGGTCACTCTGCTGCCTGAGCTGTGGCTTCACCAGGCCTTGCCAGCAATCTGTGGGCCTGTCTTGTCCGTCTGTCCCTTCTTCTACCAAGCAGCCAGTGGAGAGCAAGGGGTAACAGGGGTCTGGGGTTTCCTGGGAGGCCGCAGCAGGCTCAGGCTTGCTGCTTCGGCTGATCTTGGTTAGCAGGTGGGTTGGAGGCTTCCAAGGGCCAGCCACGGGCTGGTTCTGACTTGGTCCCGGATCGTCGGCCCCAGGGAGGTGAAGCCGTGTTTGGCTGAGTGGGTGCCAAAGTGGGCGCCAGATGCTGGAATGCCAGGGGATGTCTGGGTCTAGCTGAGACTGACCATGGCCTGTGTGGTATGGCTGCCGAGTGGATGGGCATGAGTGAGGGAGCCCCCTGACAAGGTGTGGCTCCTTGGACACCCGGCAGGTGGTCCTCAGGGTGGAGGTGGGGTGGGCTGCACCCCTGCAGAGTGTCTCCTTGGCTCTCCCGGAGTCCCAGGAAGTGAGACTCAGATGAGAGCTGGAGGCAGCCGGGGGTGGCCCCTCACTCCGCTGCCCCGGTGCGCGCCCCAGACAGTGGCGGCTCCCCTGCCGAGAAGGAGGGTCGGGCTGCATGCGCCTTGTTCTCTGGGAAAGAAGAAAAATGAAACAGCTGGTGCCCCGGTGGCGTCAGGAAGTGGCGTGTCATCCCATCCCTGCCTTTGTCGGCATCCTTGCTGGAAGCCCTGGCCTCCCAGGGTCTGTGCGGCAACGCCGGTGGCCCGGGTGCTGGGCCCACAGGGAGGGGCCACCTTGGTGCCATGCCGCTCCCCTTGAGGCAGCCAAGGGCGCCGGGCTCCGTCAGTACCGCCACGTCCTGTCCCCCCCGTGGCCTTGGTGGGCTCCCCAGAGCAGAGGGGGTCTGGGAGCCAGACAAGGCCCCTCCTGCTCACGGCCTGTGCTGAGGGGCTCACCACTGCTGCCCCTCCCACAGGTCACAGTCACCACCATTGGCTACGGGGACAAGGTGCCCCAGACGTGGATCGGCAAGACCATCGCCTCCTGCTTCTCGGTTTTCGCCATCTCCTTCTTTGCGCTCCCTGCGGTAGGTGAAGCGGCCGCGCTGCCGGGCTCCCCTGGCGGGAGCGGAGACTACACAGGCCCCTCCCCAGGAACATGCCCCCCTGCACAGATGCAGCTGCCCTGGAAGGCTGCCTGGCATCGCACCCGGCCCCCACCCTCCCGCCCCACCCCGGAGTCCTTCTCAGCAAGTAGGGGGCATCCTGGGGCTCCTTCGAGGCCCCACCCGACACAGTGCACGATGCCAGTGGCAAGGCCTGCCGTCCAGCCGCCAGCCCCAGGGCCTGTGTTCCCAGGGTGGGGGTGGGGAAGCTCTGCACAGGGCCCTTCCAGAAAGCCCGGTTCAGGAGGATCAGAATCTCCTGGTTGACTGTGTGTGTCATCTGTGTGTGTGGGGTACACGGGCAGTGCATATGTATGCATGTGCATATGTACGTGTGTCGTGTCATATAACACGCATGTATGTCATGTGCATACGTATAGCGTGTGTGTCATATATCTGTGTATATGTGTGTACACGTGTATACATATAGTGTGTGTGTTGTGTTATGTGTACAGGTTGTGTGTGCATACAAGTAGCATTGTATGTGTATGTCATGTGTATGTGTATAGCAGGTGTTTGTGTAACAGCATGTGGGTATGCATGTGTGTTTGCATACACATAGAAGTGTCTGTACACGTGTGTCATGTGTATATGCATAGTATGTGTGTGCATGTGTGCTGTCTATGCACGAATATCTACATATGCATGTGTGTTGCATGTGGATAGCATGTGATGTGTACGTACAACTTGATTCCCTCCACGGATGGGGAGCCCCCCGCCTGCTGAGCCAACGCTCCCCGTCCCATCCACTGTCCTTGGTTGAGGACAGTTCCTGACCCCAGCTACTGCCCAGTGGGTTTCCTGCCCAGGAACTTGCAGATGGTCCAAGCCTCCCAGCCATCCCCAAACGGTCTCTTGGAGTGGGTCAGAGAGGCCCAGGCCCCTTGCCGGGCACGTGCCAGGGGTGGGGTATACGCTCCATTCTGGCCTGGCTTATGGGGCCTGCTCACACGGATGGCCTGGGGCCCACCCTGTTCTCTCGGCCCCCACATCCCAAGGGCAGGTAGGTGCACGGCCTGAGTGGACCGGCCTCCTCTTGTCCCCAGGGCATCCTGGGCTCCGGGTTCGCCCTGAAGGTCCAGCAGAAACAGCGGCAGAAGCACTTCAACCGGCAGATCCCGGCGGCTGCCTCGCTCATCCAGGTGCGTCTCCCTGCAGCCCTCCGTGTGATGAGCCTTCGTGCCCGCTCGGTCGGAAGCTGCTGTCACTGGCTCCCGGGTCCCAGCCTGCTCTAAGGGGGTGGCTGGGCAGCTCAGTTCTGGGCCCCTGGCCTCTGGAATGTAGAGGAGCCGTGTGCGTGGCAGACGCATCAGCTGCTCTGAATCGGGGGTGGGGGTGGGCAGGGGAGTGAGCAGGGATGTCTTGCACCCCAGTGAACCATGCTGAGGGTCATGGCCAGTGATGAGGGGCACCTGTGACTTCTGTGGGCCCTGGCCGTCCCCTGGCTCCCCGACTTCGTGCAGTTTCACACAACAGTGAGCATGGGGGGAGGTGAGGGGCCCCGGAGCCACAGGCAGCAGAGCGGGCACATGAGCAGGGAGTGACCATGGTGGGTGGCGGTGCTGCGCTCTGCAGTCCTTACCAGCCCCGCTGTGCAGGGTCCGACACCCTGCTGCCCGGGCAGTGGCTGGCATGAGGCACCCGTGCTGTCCTGCCAGGAGGGGGTCGCTGATCCAGCCCAGCTCCTGCCGCTCCCCCAGCACCCGGAGCACAGTGCTGACGCCCCACCTCTGCTCAATCCCAGACGGCATGGAGATGCTACGCGGCCGAGAACCCCGAGTCTTCCACCTGGAAGATCTACGTACGCAAGGCCACCCGCAGCCATGCCCTGCTGTCCCCCAGCCCCAAGCCCAAGAAGTCCGTCATGGTAACTACCCCCTGTGGGTGGGGGGCGTGGGGGTTCTCTAGAGAAGGTGCTCGGGGACAGTGGGGTGGGGCTGGAGATCAGCCACGCATCTGGAGGGGTCTGGGTGACGGCAGCATCCCACACAGGTGTGGAGGTGGGGGCAGTGGGAACCCAGCTTACAGGGTCCTCTGAGGTCGAAGAGCTGAGGCCCAAGGGTGTCCATCGGGCAGGTGCCCCTGCTGTTTGACTGGAGGGCGAATCAAGTGTGGGGGCCCTGTGAGGGCTCCCCGCCCACCCCCACCTCGGTGGGACCCAGGTATCCTGGGGTCCGGCTGTCTCCAGAGCCTCCATACTGCCATTCCCTCTGTGGGGACATTCTCCTAGACCCCTTCCCATGCTCTGCTCCCCACCTGCCCTCTTTGCCATTTCGCTGTCCACCGCCCCCTGCGGCCGGGACCCCGGGACCCTGGGACCCTGCACAACACCTGGTACGCCGTGCCAGGCCAATATGCTCAGGGACCCCATCTGCTGTCTTCTCTGAGGTCAAGAAAAAGAAGTTGAAGGCTGACCGGGACAATGGGGTGAGCCCCGGGGAGAAGACGCTCACAGTCCCGAACATCACCTACGACCTAGCAGCTGAGGAGAACAGGGCTGACCACGTGTCCCTCGATGGCTGCGACAGCTCTGGTGAGCAGCTGGCTGCACGTGGGGATGGGAGAGACCTTGCCTGGGGCCTCACCGCTGGCAATGTGAGGGTCTTGGGAGCCAGGGACCCCCGGTGACAGGGTCCTTCCCCTCTCTGGAAGCCAGCTGCACAGGGTCCAGGCTTCCTTCCCCCTTGGCCAGCCCGCACTGGCTGAAACTGTGGCGCTGACGCTGCAACTGCAGTGGGCCTCATCTTCTGGGTAGGAAACAGCCAGACCTTGTCTGTGCCTGTGTCTGGCCATGGTCCGAGCATGGCTCCGTCCACGGCCCTGCTGCCGGGCCTACTTTCCCCCCGAGGGACGAAAGCAGGATGGGTGTTTGTTGTCCCTCAGAGAGCAGTGGCTGAGGCCTCAACTGATTGAAGCGACCTCGTGTGCATCAGGGGAGAGCCGAGGTCCACGGGGTTTTCAATGGCCGAGCGCCATTGCCGTTGGCCACCAGGGCCTGCCTTCTGGGTCTTCTCTGGGTGGACCGAGCTGCCAACCTTCTGAGCAGCAGAGTGGGTTCACGGTCTGCACTGTCAGGCACTCCCTACAGACAGTGCCAGAGCCCCTGGAGTGGAGAAGCTCTGACATCATGTGCAGGACCCCTGGCCTGGCCCACCCCGCGTTCAAAGAGAGCTTGTGTGAAAACTTGGCATCCCAGCCCCCGAGGGAAGGCTGGTCGATGGTGAAGTCGAGAGGAAGGTCTCTCCTGGGATGGGACAGCCCTCATCTCTGGAGGGAGGCTGCAGGCTCAGGCCGAGGATTCAGGGGCTGAGGGAGCACTTCTTTTGGGAGCACTAGCCAGAGCAGGGGTGCTTTGTCCCAGTGGGCATGGGCTTCCTGAGACCCTGCCCTGGCCCTTGCTCATCTTGTTACTGTCTGTGGAAGGTCTACCCTCTTTCTACCTTCAGCCAAAGGGGACGTTTTCCAAGGAGGTGGATCTTCCCGAAGGGACCCTGCAAAAACAGCAAGGAGGCCACATGTTCCGACCTCCTCTAACCTTACAAGAGGAAGACAGGATTGCCAGCAGTAACCCAAGGCCTATTCCTACAAGGCCAGACATGCTGCCTCCCTCCAGCCCTTTCACCAACCATCCTCCCAAATCACCACCACCTCTCTCCTGGGTTCGATAATTCACTGCAGTGGCCACACAGAACTCACAGATTATGGGGTTTATTAGGGAAGCACCAGGCTACAACTCAAGTTCAGGAAGAACGTTCAGTCTCTCTCCCAGCCCACCGTCCCTCGGCCAACAGTCTCTCACAGTCTCTTTCCCAGCAGTGCTGGTCCCTCGGTGTCTCACTCAGCAATGTGTGTCTCTTGTGTCTCTTTCCCAGCAGCACGTGTCTCTTTCAGGGGCACGTCTTCCTCAACCAGCAGTCAGAGAGCGTTCTGTCTCTAGGAGGCCTCCTTTTGAGCCCAGCAGAGTGGCCACACTAGCCAATAATAGCATCAGAACTCTAAGCACCTGAGAGAGAGTGGGCACCTCCCAGAACATTGTTTTGTGCCATTCCCAACAGAAATACTCCAGGTGGACAACTTCAGCAATCAGGTGCTCCTCAGTTGCTCATAGAAAATCCCACCTTGGAATTTACAAAGACTTATGGGTAGAAAAGCCACACTAAATAATATACTACACCGCAGACCCCTTCTTGTGTCCCCATTGGGGATTCTGTTTTTGCTGTTTTGACATCCACTCCTCTACCCCCTCGAACCCACCAGAACATTCTGGCACATTGGCTGCTGAGGGCCACGTTGCTGTCTCAGGCACATGGAGATGACAGGCTCACACTGTCCCCAGCCTCTGTGCCTGCAGGTGGCTGGCCCCAAGCCCTCTCCTGCACCTGGGCTGGAGAAGGGCCAGAATGATCTGGAAAGAGACTGTGGCGTGGTGCACCCTCAGGGCTCTCATGGGCACCCTTTGTGGGAGAGGAAGGGTGGGTGGTGAGCCCTACCTCCCAGCACTATGCTCCTGGGGTCTTGCCAGTACTTTTGGCAGGGGGCCGGGGTGGTGGTCAGGCTGGCAGTGACCCTAGGGTTCCCTCCCTGCTTGTCCACTGGTGGCACAGTAGGCAACTGTACCTACAGTGCTGGTGCCCTGCGGCGCAGCGCAGCTGAGGATGGTTGCAGAGGTGCCTGGATGTGGCCTGTGTGCTGCACAGAGGCAGCAAGGTGCTGTCCAGCTTGCTTGGTGTCCGCGAAGGTGAGCTAGGCAGCAGCTGCCTTGAGTGGACCACTCTCGCTTGCGGGAGTATTCTGTTCCTATTGCTTCTGGTTAAGTCGGCCAGCCTGAGGCCTGGCCTGGGGACCCAAGGCTGCCTGCCTGTCCCACTGTAGGAGAAGGGGTGCTGGTCATCAGAAGAGCTTGCAGCCCCTCTCCTAAACCATGATTCTTGGTCGTTTGACAGTTGTGATGTAGTGTTGCAGTTATGTAACGACATAATCACTTCCATGATGAGATCTGTTATGAGTGGCCAGTCAGCTGGAAGGGAGTTTCTTGGAGGGAGTAGCCTGCATCCAACACATGTGGACACTCTGGCAAAGCGCTCTGGCTTTTTGCTCGCTGTGGATCTTGCACCCGGCTCATCATCATCTGACCTCCAGTTCCTAGAGCTTGAGCCTGCTGTATTGCCAGCCACCCTGAGATTTGGGATTAGTTATCTTCCATAGCCTGTGAGCCAGCAACCAGCTGACTGATGTGCTGATCTTGGGTTCCTCAGCCCCTGCAGCTGCGTGAGTCAGGAGGAGCCCCCAGCCTGACACCTGACCCATGGACTCTGACTTAACAGACTCTACAATCAAGTGAGCCATTTCCTTGAGATAAAGCTCTCTTGTGTGTGTGTACGTACGTATGCACATATGAGCTTCACTGGTTTTACTTCTCTAGAGAACTCAGACTAAGACGTTCCTGTGATGTGTGCGACGACATAGCCTGGACGTGCCCTGCACACGTGTGTGACTGTGACTCATGTGGGGTCATTCCCAGGCATCTCAGCCTAACGTAGCATTCCTGTCCACCCTCTCCCCATTTCATAGTGGTGTAGTGACGTAGTCCTGAATGCTCGGTCTCCCAGGATCTATGGTTGCTGACCCCCAGGGACCTGGCAAGCGCTCAGTCCTTTGCGCCTCCTGGGTCACAGGTCATCGTCGCCCAGTCATCGTCGCCCAGACTTTTGGTTTCTCCTTTATTTTAAAAAAAAAAAAAAAAGAAAATCCTAACTTATCCTCGTCAGGTGCTCATTGCAGCCGAGACTGGCTGTCTCCGCCCACAGATCTGCTGGTTTTCTGTCTCCTGCTCCATTGTGACCCCTCCTTCCCCCGGGTTTGCTTTCCTTCTTCCTGAAGCCTGTGCTTCCTGCAGCGAGGGCTGTGGATGTGCACTCTGTTGTCAGAATGCTTTCTCCCTGTTCTTGGCTAGGGGCTTAGTTGGGGAAGAGGTGTAAGGCGATATGTATATTCTCTCAGCAGTCTGTGGATATGGCCCTGCTGGTGCCTAGCTTCCTGGGATTGTCAAATTCACTGATGTCCTTTTGTAGGTGATCCCCCACCCCACCCCGGTGACTGGAGATGCCTTCTCTTTGATTTTGGTGTTTGGCAGTTGCACTACAGTGTGTCTGGGTGCTGAACTATTTTTAGACATTCTACGTACAATTTCTTGTTTTTGAATCTGAGGTCTTACATCTTTCATTGGGTGAGGGAAATCAGCCATTAGGTCATAGGATGTTGCCTTTCTCAGTCCCTCGGATCCCACCTACAAACTTCTTTCTGTTCATCCCGTTCTGTCCTCCTTGCCTGTCTTTCATATTGTCCATCTCTGTCTCCCTGTGCTACACACTAGGGACTTCCTGTCCAGTTCACTAACATTGAGGTGTGAGTGGGAATGGGGTGTGGCAGGGCGGGAGCGGCTGGACCCGAGCTCCTGGGCCAGAACCTTCTCACTGAGCCCGCACAGAGCCTCGGTCCTGTTCCCTCCTCTCTGCCCCCACGGCTTCTGTTCTCGCCCATGATCTCACTGCCAGGCCCTTCTCACTTCCTTTCTCTGTCCTTCAGTCCGCTTTGGTCTGGTCCTTTGTGTATGACCAGTGAGCAGGATAATGAATGTGTCCTCCTGTGATGGAGGTCCAGTTAGGTTGTGGTCCTGCCCAGAAACCTTTGGGGATTCTCCAGCCCCTCCAGGCTACTGTCAAGAAGCCTGGGCCAGACCCGTGATAACCTGGCCCTGCCTCGTCTTTGCAGCCCTGCCACCTTCACCCTAGGAAGCACTCCTTGTCCTCCCCGTCGAGATCTTTTCAGCTGGGCACTTTGCCCAAAGCTCTTCCCATCCCTGCCCACCTCTCATGGTGAAAAGATGTGCACTCTCAAATTTTAAGAGGGATTGTTTTTGCGGATCGGAAAAGTGGTACGTGGTCATTACAGAGCGTAAGAATACTGCAGAGCAGGACGGTCGCCTCTCAGAGACAGCAGCTGCCAGGGTTGTGACACACATCCCCCACCTGGTTCTGATGAGTACACACATCTGAGTTGGTTCCACCCAGACGGTTCAGCTGGGGTTCTGCCTTTTTCTTTCATAACGTGACCATTACCCTAGATCATTTAAAATCCTTTTCACAAGGACGTTTTGTTGTGTTTAGACAAATATTTCATTGTCTTGATTTATTGCATTGGAGAGAATCTGCAGGACAGTTTGGAAAAGCATGGAACAGACAGCACAGAGGGCTTTCTGACATGTCCTTGTGGAAGAAGAAAGGAAACAGCAGAGATCAGAGTGCAGATGAATGAAATAGACATCAGGAAAACAACCGTAAGAGCAATGGAATCAGAAGCTGGTTTTCCTGACTTTTTCCAGAGGTCGAATTCAAAAGCTGGAGTATGAGAGCAATAAGACCGCTGAACCTCTCCCCAGAAGGCTCAGGGCAAAGAGAGAGAGAGGACACAAGCGGCCCTGCCAAGAAGTTGGCCCAGGTGTGAAGGTCACCAAGGAAGCCTGAGGAGCTCTGG